TTTCCTGCCGGGACACCCGATGGGCTGATGGCACGCTGATGGCCCAGCCAAAATCTGGTGTCTCGACAGGCCATAAGTTGCGAGATGCGTGTCGAGACACCGGATTAGCCGCCACGAGGCAGATAACAAGGCCATCGGCTCGTTATCTGCCTCGCGACGGGACGGCAATGGGTGCGCGGGTCGCCGCCACTGATGGGAACAGCGCAGGCTCTCACGCACGCTTCGCGTGCCTTCGCGCGCCCCTCCTGCATGCTCCCGAGGCCGTCTCGTGCGAGCAAAAACATGTATTTACGGTAGCTACATGGTACACTACACGGTCGGCTGCCTACTGCGCGAGAACGGACGGCAGGGAGACGAGGGCGCGCGTGCGACGGCAGGCGAGCGACCTGGCGGTGCCAGATGGCGCCGGCAAGCGAGCAAAGGTGGCCGAGGTCCCGGAGATGCATCGGGACGGTCTGGTATCCCGACACGGATTAAAGGTTGCTTATCTTTCGGCAAATGAAGGTCCAAAAATATATGTAATTTTTTTTCGCAAACAGCATCACTTCTTCACAGGAAAAAAAGTTCAGTTCAAAGTGCTATATCTGTGAAAAGTATTACATATATTTTTGGACCTCTATTCTCACAAGAGAGGAAGAGGTTTGTCTCGTGAGGTCCACCAGACTAAAGATGTTCAGCAGGTACCCACTAGCAGTTTGATTCATAGCTACTCGGGAGTCCTTCCACGAGATTGAAACGCGGCTTCTCTTTTGCTCTTAAACACGCCATATCTCCCCCAGCCAAACTGTCGGCCATCTCACCAATCAATGCCAATAAAGCCTCCAATTATGCAAGGCTTAAGCGCTTATCGGGCACCCCTCACCCGACGAACGTTTGTTGCGCAGTGGCCGTAGTAATCCAATGCTCGGATGAAAGTGTGCCACAGAGCACTGCACCAAGCATCGCAGAGCATCGCGGGAGGCAAGGCTCAAGCGCACAACACAGGCTCCCGCTACCTAAGTGCATGGGCGCGCAGGAGACAGCAGCCGTCACAGCCTTATTGTCATTGGAACGCTCGGGCAACGTTTGACGCGTGTATACGCTCACCACAGACGTTTTTTCCCCATCATAGCCTGCCCCGCGCCGACTACAGAGTGTGACTTTGCATTCCAGACTCAGGGCGCGCGCCAGCGACGCCCTGGTACGAAACCTAAGGCAAGAGCCCCTGGCACGAGACGCGAGTTAGCAGCGAACCTGTCACCCATCGAACGCGCCCCGCCCCAGCCAGGCGCGTGACGCGTCCGACCCTGCAGTGTGCACGGTTGCACGCTAGTGTGTGTCGCGCCCTGCCACGCTCGTGTCTTCGCTTTACGCGGCCCCTTACCCTCTGCATTCCTCGCGCTCCCACCGCCGAACGGCCCCGCTCGGCATGGCGCACGACAAGGTTCGCCCTATCGAATCCAGTGCACCACGACCCCGCTCCAGAAAGCGCAGTCGCCTCTACTGTAAGCTGATTCTCGTGTTGTCCGCCTCGCACTGCCGAGGCCTCATGTCCCCCAAACCTCACATCCCCGAGGGCTCACAATCTCTCGAACTTCGCGATAGAGATAAGGGTGTGGGGCGACCCCACGAAACCCGAGCTGACGCATTATCAAGGGATGTGGGACTCGTCCGCTCTCGTCCTCCTCATTTCCACACTAGGCCACACCGAGCTTCGCGGCACCGTCTGGCCTTGCCTCGTGCCCCGCCCCTATCTCCAACAACCTTCGTACACGAGATAGCAGCCCCCGCCCCCACTCCTCAACTCAAATCTGCACCAGGCCGTGCTTCGAGCTTTGTGCCAGGCCAGGCACGGTGGATCCACCACGCTTCTCGCCTGAATGCTGTCGCACTTCGAAGCGGCCGAAGACAAAGCACCCTGAAGACGTAGGATGTACGACGTGTATATTGCACCGGACGCTATAGATAAATAAAGGGTATACAAATGTGATGTGACAAACGTGCGATATATGTGTGTGTGAGAGAGAGAGATTGCGTGTGAGGAAAAGTGTGGATGCGATGATGAGATATGTGGCGAGCCTACAAGAAGAGCCGGCGGGATAGCACGCAGACAGTGCTCTTCGAGGGGTACGTACAACAGAAACTAAACCAAGAAACTAAGGGAAACACGAAGGCACGACATTGAGGAAAACCTAAGATATACAGTAGTACAGATGATGCGAGAGATGAGTTGGTTGAACAGAGACACCACTCGAGACACGATACGTGGATGGACGTACAAGTGTAGAGTAGATGTTCCGGCTAGTCTTACATACCAAATACAAACAAAAGGAAACGCATGGGGTTTGACGGTTGTTGCATATGGAATATAGCGAAATCGTTGGAGCCAAAGGAGAGAAGGCCGAAGGTCGACCTCGAATTTTAGGCGCACGAAGTAGCGAGTCGACGCGAACAGAGCAAGGAGGGCCGTCGACGATCCCCCGCATCTGCCTAAAACGCACGCACATATCGCCCTGGTGGCGTTGATCGTTGCACCGCACCTGAAGGCCTGATCGTCGGCCGAGCGCGTTGTTCGTCCACCGTCGTCGCGAAATTGTGCGAGGTTGCGCCGAGCCGCATGCCCGTGCGCGCGTGACCCGGAGTGAGAGGGCCGGGCAGACTGGCGGTGCGCAGACCAGCTGTTGCTGTACGACCACGACCACCACGACGTTTGGAGGGAGGGGAGGGGGCAAGCAGACGTCCAAGGACAACGCGCGCCTTCTATACCCTCCCACCGTCTCCTCCTCGACTCGGGCAGGCGATCCGAGCTTGTACGTAATCTCGGCCTTCCCAAATCTAGGAAATTCGGCTCAAAAGCGGTCAAGCGTGCTCGCATGGGGCAGGTCGCTCGGGGCGCGTACCGAGCCAAAGGCCGAAACGTAGCGGTCCGTGGGTCGTGTGCGCCGTCAGCTGACAGTCCTCTGCACCGGATCTCGCGCGCGTCTCACGATTACACGTACAACGGTCCTTCCGTCTGTCATTTTCGTGGCGGAAACGGGCAAGTCGTATGTGGGTGAATGGCTCGTCGACAGAAGCGCGAGATGTGGGTGATGGGGACTTTCATAGGTGTCGTAATTTGCGTTGCTGCGAAGGCAGGTGCGGGATAGCCGTGGGTGTGTGGGTTTCTAGGCGGACGGGGGGGAATACTATAAGGACAGGGAAGGGAGGCAAGGCTGATAATCAAGGCTGCAGGATGAGACTACGGGGAGACATGCCCCTCTATGTGCATTCGAACTCGACGTTGAACGGGCCACCATTCACAGGGATTCGTATGGATCCTCACTGCTGGGCTGTAAGTTGACATAATCAGCATCGATTCACTCTCTCATCTACCACAGCAAATGCGAAGACAATCCAGAATTTTTCCGGGAAGTGAAGTGAGTACGAAAGAGCGTACGAGACATCCTGTCTCTAAAATCTCCGAGTGCTCAACCTATTTTCATCCAACGTAGATCCTCAACTCTAAACTCATCTCAATGCGCAACAGCCCTGTTGCACCCACGCCCCCTTCGCGTGCCAATCCCAGGCACCACACACCACGCTCACAAACGAACGCAGCAGAGGTCGGAGCTAGAAAACCAACTCACCACCAACGACACTCATACTGGGGCCGTCGTGCGAGCTCGGGTGCGAGCCGTACGAGATTCCGGGGAACCCATAGCCGGCACCGATACCCATGCTACTGCCGATGCCGACCTGGTGCTCGGCAGGCCACGCCTGTTGGCGACGGGCGCCGACCCCATTGCCGAGACCGCCAAAGGGCGAGAAGCCCATAAAGCCCATGCCGACGTTGTTGGAGACGGGCGGCGGGGTCGGAGCCGGGGTCGTGGCAGAGCTCAGAAGCGAGGGAGAAGCGACCCCGCTTGCTGGCGGAGTCGACTGCGCGAAGCACCATTGTTTGACGAAGGCGGCGTAGCTCGAATCGTCCGTGCCGACCTTGGTGCCGTTCGCAGAGGACTGCGGGAGGTTGACGTGGCTCGAAACGGCGGCGGATGGCAGGGGCGAGGCCGAGGAGGATGTATCGGAGTGCGGTGACGTCTCAACTGCCGAACTCCCAGGTGCGTACCCATTGCCAGACGACGCTGACGCTTCAGGCTTGGGCGAACTCCTGCCGCTGCCTCCCACAGGACTCGCAGCAATACTGTTCTCCGCACTGCCATCGCGGCTACCCTGTCTCGAGACAGGCGGGCTCACGAGCTGCTTCAGCGCAGCATCAAGACTGCTTACGGCCCAGGGTTTAATGTCGGAGCCTGAGGTGGGCGAGAAGGGGCTGGCATCAGGGTGCGAGGTGGCTGCATGCATACACGCGGTGAGCAACCTGTTCTTGCCCCTATTTCACTATTAAAAGAGCACGTACCGGTCATAACGAGCGGCGACAACATCGCTTGCGCGTCCTCCTTCTCCTCATCAGCCTCAGTCGCAGCGACGTCAGGCAAACCTTTGAGGTGTGTCTCGCGAGGCGGCGTCGTGGGCGGCGTGACGATTCCGTTGGGCGAAGCCGACGAACTGCGCTCCGCCCTTGCCTCAGGCAAGCTCGCCCGCGGCAACTCTGGCGATGGCATAGTACTCGACGGCGTCGATCCCGGTGCGACGTAGTTGCGGAGCGTCAGCCTCTTCGAGATGTACGCCTCTACGGGCGACGTCGGCTTTGAGCCGTCGCTCGGGGGCCCTCTTGAGTGTTGGCCGTACTTCGGGACGACGATAGGCCCGGGGAGAGGGAACCTTGGAGTATGGTCTATTGCGGAATGGCGACGAATGAGCGGCGCACGATCGCTGAAGCTGACATCGGCGGGGGACTTGGTGGACGACGCGGACTCCTCGACCTCGCGCTCGACCGGCGTCTTGTCTTGTGCGAGCGGAGATGGTGGGGAGGGCGTGGTGGAAACAGGCACAGGTGGGACGACAGGCACAACGACGTTTTCCTGCTTCTCCTCGCCTTCAGCCTCATCCTTCTCGTCCACGTCCTCCTCGCCCTCGCCGACGTCATCGTCTCCGGTGCTGGTGACAACCTTGCCGTTTGATACTGCAATCTTGCTCAACACTACGGGGGCGGGCGAGCCTGACTGTGTCGTTGTCGGAGTGAAGCGCATCGACGATGGGGCATTGAACGTTGGTTGTTGCTTGTGGGCGACGTGCCTCGTCGGGCCGAACGTCGACACGTGTGGGACGGCCGAGAAGCTGGCTGCCTTCTTTTCGCGGCTGAACGACGGAGGGAAGGACGCGGAGACCTGGATCGGCGGAGCCCGCGGGGTCGAGAGTGGGCTGTTGGTGGGCGCGGAGGCCTTCTTGAACCCTATCCGGTAATTCTGGCCGTCGTTGTTATCCCAGAACTCACCCATGTGCCCGCTACAAGCGACGAAGCGGGCCACGAGGAACAGCGTCCGCTCGCTCAGCTTCGGTTCGTAGTCTTCCAGCCGTATCGTGAACCTAAATCGAGTAACCATCAGTACCGCGTTTGGCAGGTGGCACGAAAGTAGCACGCACGAGAAACGGTCCCACTGGCAACTGGCAGACTCCTCCGCCCGGCCCTCTGCGATCTGCCCAGCGTAGTCTCCAATCGTATGCGGGCGGGGGAACGGCGGCGGCAGACCAGGCAGGCTCACAACGTGTTTACACACCACCTCGCTCGTCGTTTGCCAATCGTCGAGCGTAAAGCGCACAACAACGTTCTTCTCAAAGTGTATGTTGCGCACAAGCACGGTACCGCGCAGCGTTGGCGGCCGCGTTTTCGGGAGAGTGACGGTTTCGAGGTGGATGTTTGCATGAGGGCTAGGGTTCGCAGTCGGAATAGGTGAGGTAACGCCTGGTGTTGTGTCTAATTCGTGGATCAACTGACTGGGAGAGGACGTCCCTGGACTCGGCGATCCCGAAGACATGAAGGAGCCTCCGAATGACGAGGTAGGGAATAGAGAGGGGAACGGGTACTCAGCCTCGGTCTCAGTCTCAGTCTCCTCGCCCGCAGGCTTGCTCAAGCTTGCCGGCTTGCCCGACCTGCTGAACACCTTCACCATCTCCAGCCCCGCGCCTTCTTCCGCGAAGTGTACGCGGGGAGTGCTCGGTGCGCTCTGCACGCGAAAATGTCTGCGCATGCCGTCTGCAAAGTCACCGGCGACGTTTGGCGAGGACGAACTCGACTTGAGTGAGGGCTTGAGAGGCCTGCCGTTCGAAAGGATGATCGGTGTGCTCGGTGTGCGTGGTATTGACGAGGTCGAGGTCGAAGAGCCCGAGGGTGAGCGGTCGGAAATGAACGGCGATTTCCTATCCGTCGGCGATATCGGCGACGAAGTCGGGAATGGCACGTTCGAAAGCGGCTCGTTAGGTGAGGTTGTGCTGAAGGTGGCACCAGTTTTGGGGATCTCTATGTGTGCGGGAGGGTTGACCGTCGGCGAGAAACGACCAGACTCCATTGACAGACGAAGGGAATTCACAGCTGGAAGGCTGATGTGCGGTGGTTTGGGTGGCGACGAGGACGGAGAGTGGTCATCGTCTGGTGGTGAGTCCTCGTCAACGTTGAGATGAAAGACGGCCTTTTTGTTGTGCTCGTTGGTGGAACGGCGGCGTGGTAGGTTGCCCATAGGCGCGAACGCGCCGGGGCCACGTTCATCGCTGAAGGATGAGCGGGTGCGGCGGTGTCCTGAGCGGGCATGGCTGGTCGTGGCAGTCGTGGCGGTCGTAGACGACGAGGAGGGGGAGGGATCGGCGGGAGAAAAGTAGGGCATAGTCGTGTAGGGGTGTATGGACGGTTAGGGGAGGGATGTGCGATGACTGTGAAAGGGAGATATGATAGCGGACAGGTGAGTATATCAGTCGTCGGAAGTGAATTGTGGGAGATACCTAAGGCGATACCAAGAGAGGCAACTGTGTGAGCCGGTAGGAAGGAGCAGGTTTGCAGACTCAGATTGAGAGACCGAAGATCTTGCAAGAAGTGATTCTTCGTGGCAGCCGATGGAATGGCGAATCGCTCCGAGGGAAGGGGGTCGAAGATACTGGTGCGTTGGCCGCAACGGCCGGTATCGGCTTCCTATAAGGATGGATGGGTGGGATTCGCGCAATGCGGCTTGCAGTGTTGGCGATGCAACCTTGAGCCTTCCAAACGCCCCGCGAGTCGTCGGAGGCGGCGTTTGAGAGTGTGTGGTGTTCGAAGTACAGGCGGTGGAGAAGAGGTGTTCAAAAGTCTCCCTTAGAGAGAGGAGAAAAGGGAGACGAGCGAAGCAAACCTCACCCGCTTGGCCCTCTCACACGGCCGAGGCCCACTCCACTCCCAAGCGCGGTTATCAACTCAAAATAATACAGATGATGTCATCCCGCCATCAGCAGTTTCACTTTCCAAACCTGGCATGCCCGCCACTCGCGCCCAACGTCCCTCGCGCGTCTTCCGTTCCTCCACGCACCCTCGACTCCCTTCCCCGCCCCCGCCTCGGTAAGACAGCCCTCATTGATTATCGCTCCGACAGCGTGCTCCGCACGTTCCCCGCGTCTATGCATACAGCCGCGGCCTCGCCAGCATCTTCCCGTGGGCTGTCTCGCATCCACCAACAACAGCCGACCGACTGGGCCAGTGTGTTCCCATCTGTCCCCCGTTCCTCGTTCCTTCCCAAACGTTTCTTCCCCCCATCAAGACCCCTATCAACTCCCCCCTTCTGCGTATCCCACGAAGCTTAGCCCATACACAGCTCTATTCCCAATTGCCTGCGGATGTTGCCCTCCTATCGATGCCGTGCAGCTCTTTCGAATCGTATCTTCCGTTGCTCCTCTCGGGACCATCAGCAACACCGCCGTTATCTGACCAAGAACTTCCCATCAATTGCCCTGCACAACGTTTGCGCGCGAACGTGCGAGCGCCGCCGTCGCACACGGGAACGCGCTCTCATCCACGGATGCAGAAAATTTCCTCAGCACGCTTTTCCTCTTGCTGCATTCCCGCAGCGTCCTTCTTCTCTGTATTGTTACATTACCCTGCGTCGCACCATCAAACTTTATTTTGTATTATAGGCCTCTTATTCATGTAATGGAACACCTAGACGCGTCTGAGACCCTGCGCATTTACGAATACGGCCTACCGTGTCATGGACATGCTGGGCCGACGCGCCTGGCCAGGAGCCGGCTCCGGCTCGCGATCCTTTCCCACCGCCCCTCGATCCGCTCAACATCCCCACCCCGTTAAATTGTCTTCCTTGGGGCTCCTCCTGGGAGGGCTCTTGGCGGGCGGGCGGGATGAGGGACGGGCTCAGTAGACAGCGTCGGGACATCGGGATGCGGGCGCCCCTGCGTGCTCCACAGGCAAAAACAACGGGCGGCGGCGCAACCTGCTTGAGTTTTGAACAAGGTTCTGCCCGCTCCACCCAGCTCCACGACCGCGTTGGCACGTTCCTTCGCTCGGCCAATCGCGCCGTCCGTTGTTACGGTTTTGTGTGATGTTTGCTTCGGCCTCGACGCTGTGAGTCTTGCGTGCTCGGCCATTATTTGTGATGCCCAGACGGGGCTTCCCTTGTAGCGAAAAAGCTCGTACATGTGACGAAGAACAGTCTTGGAGGCACGAAACATTTTGTGAGTACGAATGGACGCCAGGGACGCGCTGAGTACACGAGAGCGGGCAGGGTGCGATCAGAACTCACACCCTGGACAGAACAGCCATCCTCGACCGAGACAACATGACAGAATACGCTCCGTTTGGGTCACGGCGGCCGGCTGTGCAACACACGTCGCGCGCCAGGGCGGTCAGCAGACACACCGCGTCATCGCGCGTTCCCTGCAAGTCTGCGACCGGCCTGCAGCAACGATCAGTGAGTGACCTCGAGCGTGTTCCTGCGAAATGAATGCGTCACCAACCGCGGTCAGCTGGGGGAAACGACGCCCTAGGCCTATTCTAGCGACGTATTAGGCTCGGGATGCCCTCAGGGCCAGCAAGACTGCCTCTGCGCGGGTGTCACAATGGTATGTGCGCGTACTGCATGCAAAGACGTGGTACAAAGCGTGTCTGGCTCGTTCGGATCCATGTCAAGAAACGATGTTCCTTCATTGTGCTCACGCTTGTCTGCCGCAGGACCCGGGAAATTTCTGGCCTGTTCTGCGCTGTTTCAAGCGGTCGCCCGGCACCTCTACACCTCCCGTGCTTGCTCTTGTCCTCCTCACTCCCTTCTCGGCGTCTCAAGCCACGACATATTCAGGAACGCTGGATATAGGCGCGCGTCGGGCAGATCGCCCCTTCTAGCCGCCGGTCAATTCAATGGGATCTAGAGATCTTCCTCGGGACGACAGAAATGAATAGAGATCCAATCGGGTATTCAGCTATTTACGTAAAGCGCCGATGGCTCAGATTTGGACATGGCCCGCCGGCCCTGGCGCCTCTCTCATGCGCCTCTTGCGCTTTATGGTCGCGGGGGCGTGGGAACGTCGTTGCTTTGTGGTCCTCGCGCTTTGCTGCTTGGTCGCTGTTGACAACGACGGTGAGAAAAGAACGGGGACGCATACGGAGGACCATCCACTTCCTAATGAAATCTAAGAATTCTTGCTCTACTTCTGATGTTACTCGTCATCTTTTCCGGCATCGGCAGCCCATGGCTCGAATACTTGCTGTTCTCCCTCCCTGTGCGTCTCGCTCCTCTCGACTAAGCCCGAAAGTGAGTTCTGCCATGCGTTGGTCAGGGTCCCTCTATGACTCAACTGTTCGAAGTCGGAGCGCAGACAAGAACACGTAGGCAGCGAAGAACCTGGCAGCAAACTTCTTCCTCCGAGCTGACGCTGAATGTGGATGCGCCGGTCAAACTGGCTTTTCGAGAGTATTCGGCGATGCACAAGAGGGCCAATAGTGCATGCGCGGCACCACAGGGCGATTCACTCTTAGGCGCAGCTTCGGAGCGTCAGCATCGATAGTCCGTCGACCCTGCCTTCAAGTGGCCCGATTCGCCGATGGCGGGAAGCGAATGAAGATCAGCATGTCCACGACGTCCAGAAATGTTTCGACATTCGGGTAATGCTGTGGGTTGTCACATTTATTCGCGGAGATACGTACGTTTCCAGATTTTTCGACGTGACCCGCGCGCATATAGTCTCGTTTGTCCAGCGACCCAGCAATAATGCACGTACGCACGTCCTTTGATAACAACAGACTTCTTGTGGAGCGCATATAAAGCATTCCAAATAGCATGTCCGAATGGTCATTGCGAAGAAGACTCATCAGGATCTGAGCAGTGTCAGCGAAGGATAGGCACTGCAAGTCATGGGAAGGGCGGAAACGCTAGCGTGTGCGTAACAGCTTCTCATCTCTGCCGAGCCCCCACCGTGTTCTCATGTGCTGTCTGCGGCAGATGCGAAGACCCACGGCCAAGATGCACTGCCCCTTTAATTTGCGGCTTGTCCACGGTTCTGCAGCGCTGGCGCGTCAGAAAACGGTCGTCCGTGCATTGCATCATCCTGCATTCAAACGAGAGTTTCATTACTTAATTGTTATCCCCGATGGACCACAGCAGCGATGGTCCTCTCAGGGTCTATTTTCGCGGCCGACTGATCGTGACATGCTCTGGTTCTAGATGGGTCTTCCCACGAGTCGTGCGTATCAATCATTTCGATCACAGCCTGTCGGTGAGGACAAGCGGTGCACCGTGGCCTCGACGCCTGACAGGCTCATCGACACATTGTGGACGCAGGTTGTTGGCTGGCGCTGACGCATAGCAGTGATAAAGCCAAGTCGATAGACGGGCACAGCGCAATAGAGATACTGTCATCGCTCAGTGGACACCGGTACAATACTCTCATGCGATTTACTTCCTTGAGGCACTCGACGGCCGTGGGCTCGCAGGTTGGAGTGGGTTCAAACGCTGTGCGTCCCCCCGGCGTCGTGCGATTACTGAACTTGTCCCCAGCCCCAAATCGCACTATCCATCGGGCGTGAAACGCAGCGCCAGGCACCCCTTCTACTAGTTGTTGCGCCACAGAGAAAAAGACAAGCGGGTATTTGAACGCAGACCCCGGTTTGGCCGATCGCGCGCACGAAGGACGCCATCCGGCGGTACAGAGCAAGGGTCTTTCATTAAACCTCTCTCTGCCAATGTCGCCTGTCTTTCCCTGGAAGACAGGTCCGGGGCTTCGGCTTCGGCTTCGCTGCACGCACACGCCTCTGCGAGCTGGACCTCTGTGCTCTCTAGCCTGCCGCACGGAGTCAAGATGGCATACACGTGGCGCCTCTCCCTCGCATTCCCGAACCTCCCCGCGAACGCGTCTGCAGAAAGAGGCAAAACACGCCGGTCAGGCGTGGGACGCGCTGTGAACGTACGCCCGGGGCTTCGCAGGTCGCTCCGTCTCGTATCTCTGGCAGCGGAAGGCCGACGGCCAAGCCTGGCCCTCCCCTTTTCTACGCGTGCGAGTAATACTGCACAAGGAATGCTGCTAAAGGGAAGCGGGCACACAACGAACGCCTAGGCAACGGGAAGGGCAACAAGAAAGCGACGGCCTAGAGTTAGGCAGGGCCTGGACCCCCCGTGCGCTTGCAGCGATTTCTGTGCGCCGTCTGATGACCATTTTTCTTTTCTGCAGGCGGCAACCGGAGAGCCTGACAGACAAGGAACGGCGGCCTACTGTCCAGCTGATCCTTCTTAGCGACTCATCAACACGGAATCGCTTCGAAGGAGGCTATGCACCTGACCAAGATGACAGTGGGGGGCGCGTTGATCTGCCAATATTATGAACCACTAGTGGTTGGGGTATCTACTTGCGTTCATTGTCCTCGAGAAGGCTACGCTGGGCTGCGTTGTATTTGGTGCGTGCTCCGCGCAAGGCATCGTTGTACTTACGCGACGTCGACACTGATATAGCAGTGGCGGTCATCGATCAATGTATCTCGTCCTATCGCAGGAATACAGCTCTCATCCGTCACAATTGTGGCAGTACACTAGTTGCGTAATGGCCAATGCGTGCGTTGTGCGGCTCCAAGCGTGTCCACTGCATACACTTCTCTCTCCCAAGGGCAAGTAGCTTGCCATTCCTGGTGCAGCTGTGCTCAAAGATGGCGCGAATGTGTATCATTGATACTCCTGAGCAGCTGTTGAGTGTGGGCGCAGGCGCAACCCCGGAAGAGCTCTCACTCGGACAAGCAAGGCCTATCGTCATCCCTGGGAACGACGCCGTCGATAGCACTTCTTCCAGCCATGGAAACTCTCGCATATACAGTACACCTTCGCCTTTGTGCTCTCCACTGGTGCCTGCGCACATCTCCAAGGGTTGCTCCATACTCCGCATCTATCTGCTGGGACCCTTTCATCCATCAGAAGCCGCGGTATCAGCGACACTAAGAGAAAGGCTAAACCGCACGGGCTGCTGAGACAATTGGACGACGAGACATACTGCGTTAGGTAGGCGTTTAGAGTGCGTGCGCCTGTCGATCGTTTGTATGCGTCGCACCAGTGCGTTACGCATGTGCGCGGGTGCGGCGGGTGTTCTCGTGCGTGCGGAGGCTATTAAAAAAGTGTTTTGGCTCAAAAATACGACTCGGCCTCCCGAGCCGACGTGCAGGGGCGTCGTCTTATAGGAACGACGCGGATGCGCTGCTGGGTATGTCGTTCTATGTCGGCGGAGTACCCGGGCCTCAAAGTACGGGCGGTGCTCTCCATTTCGCTGAGGTCGCACTCGCCCGCTCTACGTTCCTTCCGCGCAGTCGGTCTATGGGGCGCGTGGTACGCGTGACCGCGTGTCGGGCGGCGTCCCTGCGTTGTTCTTACCCCGAGGACATCACGCGTGAGTTTTGCGATGCAGTGTGGCCGCGACAGACGGAAAGTCCGACACAGGGCTGAGACACGCTTGAGCCAATTTAGCGGGAGCGACCCTGTTGACGCAGGGGCGCGAGGTCAGCCTGGTGGCGCAGGGTTGCGGTAGTGGGGCAGTGCAGTCGCAACCCATGGCAAGACTCTTACTCGCTGCGCGGAAACCATGGGTAGCCGTGAAGCGCGCCTGCACGACTGCACAACGTCAGACATGAGATGCGAAACATGTAGGTGGCCGCGCGACCCTGGCCATATGACCAAGGAACGTGCAACAGGCGGAGCGGTCTGTACAGTGCTACCAGTGTTGCGGGTCAGCGTCGGTTATGCGCTACAGCCGAGGTCTTGCTCACCTGCAACTCGAGCCTCGCGAGTCTCTCCAAAGAATGTACAGTACTCCACGTCTTCGCAGCCTAACATTCAAGTTATCACAAATTGGGCGGCATGCTTCGAACATTTGTTGCGCCGCCTTGTTGGCCCGGTTATTCCGACATAACGTTTGTTGCGCCGCTTTGTCGCCCACACACTCGTGCCAAGCATAAATACCAGACGATTTGCGAGTCGCGATTCGTGCGTCGCGTTTTGCTACATCAACTTTGTCGGTGCTCGAGCGGTGCTGGAGCACAGCACGGAAGGTGCTTCGGCTTTCTATAGCCATGACAATCCTGCCGGTGGGGTATAACCAGGCCGAGCACGGACAGTCGCACGGAGGACGATGTACATGCGCGCACTGCAATATCACGAGCAACGACGCCATTCAGAGCTGGCACGGCATGGTACGTGCCTCGGTTTTGCATCGCCACGGCCACTCAAGTTGTGGGATTTAATTAGATTGAGTACGGATAACCTCGCCATCGATGAAGGTGTAACGACAGATTTGCATTGAAGTCACCGACCATCCTCCCACCAGTCGATTGGTGTCGTGGCTTATCGTCATAATTATACGTTCCAATTGCGCAACAGGGAGTCAATGCGACCGTAGTCTTGACAGCGAACGGCGTCGTTGTCGATTGTCTTGTCTGCGGTCCCTGTAAGGAATCAATGCATTTCCTCTGGTTATCTTCCCGTACAACGCTCGCTAATCTACAGTGCAGAGAACAAGAATGTCGCGTCTTTCGGCAAGAAGTCCCCCGGGCCCTCGGCAACGTCAAGAAGTGCAGGTCTTCGTGCCAGCCGTACGGCATATCGTGTCCCCTACTATTCCCGACGCTTCCTGCCCTCCTTCGACCGCGTTGTTATCTTAGCTTTTCGTGATCAGAGGCTCCATCAAGGATGAGCGGCAACTCATTAACATCATGCATCATTCTATGCCGGCACTGCTGCCATACCTGGGATGCGGAGATCCTCGCTTGCGGTGCGCATTGCTGGCCACAGAGCAACTTGCACGTTCGCATCACACCGTTGTGTTGTCTGACGGTTAGTATCTGGTCTTGTTTACGCTTTAAGCTTTCCCACCTCCACGCGGCAAGGACCGCCATCAGTCAGTCGGAGAAACGTGGGACACTGGTTTGCTCAAATGCTTGTCTCGTTCGTGTCCCGTTTTCCCTTCATTTCGTAACCTATTAATGTGATCATCGCCTGCCGTTTTCAGTCCGTACATGTCTCTGCGATAATTATCACGGGCACCCCGGCACGAACAGCCTCCATGTTAAGTTCCTCGCCGACAAAGCAGCGGTTTGACCTGTTCTTGTACCTGGGTGAGCTTCTTTTCTCGCCTGCTGCCTGAGGATCTATGTTTTAAGCGTTTTTTTCCAATTGTGTACAGGCGGCGCACGGCAACACGAAAGAGAGTTGCCGTCCGGCAAGTGTACGGAACTTCCCGCCGAAGTTGCCCAGTTTGTGGCACCTACTTCATCGTACACACGTTGGCCATATTGTGCATGTGTGCGTTGTGTCGATGTACTGATTATACCTAGCGCAGGCTCGCACGACGAGACGATTTGCTTGCGTTCCGTGCTGTGTAGCGTTGACGGCAGACGCGGGTCTGTCTGTGAATTATGCGATACGAGTTATTCAGTTTTGATATCGCAAGGTGAGAGATAGTAAGCATATTGAAAAACTAGAAGATGGTGGCTGACTTCTGGGATAGAGCTAATGGCGGAGATTTCCGCACCTCTTCCACGATACAATATAGCGGCTTACGTGTTAGCTGGAGGCTTCAAGGCGTAGGTTTCATCTCTCATAGCTGCGTGCGGATTAATTCTGAATAGTGCTGCGCGCGTTCGCACCGGGGATCGCCTTGGAGCAGCTGAACTTGTTCCACCACAGGGAGATTGCCCGGCGAATTGCATCTGTTTGCCCGCTTCGATAAGATTTAACAGGGCAAACGGTAGCCGGCACAGCGGAAGCGATGCTCTGCGATGCTCAAAAAGGACAGAAGTACTTATCACGTTTGTTCGCTGGACCAAGGCCACATCTCGCAGATGCAGTGCCTTGAAAGGTTCTGGTCTTCGACACGTACAGTTTGCGTAAGATTTATTGGTCGTCTTTTGAACCCTGACTCTGAACCTTGACTGCAATATCATATCAGATACCGAACAGCCTTTTCCTCAGCACGTCGAAGGCTTCGTCTCGCGCTTGACGTCCCAACGAGAAGAGTGCAAGACTAGCCAGTACTGCCCTGTGTGCGCCAGGATTATCGGTCACTTTAGAGGTCGCTATCATATGCGTTGCTCAGAAATGTCGCCACTGACAGACGCTTCAAAGGAAATTTTCTGCGTTGCGCAAATCGCGCGGATTTGTGTCAACATTACGTGCGTATATCCCCGGCCTTAGTTGTATCTGACACAGAGCGTCGCGCGTTCCGTTCGGGGTGCTGGTAGGTGCAGGTTTGGACATTTTACGCTTGAGAGGGCACTGTACTCATGCTGCAATATGAACCGGTTGTCTATGTCCTCCCGAGTCATGTAAGCATATTCTCGTAGGCAACTCGCCCTGCAAAAGTCTACTGTCTCATGATCTCCTACCTAGTCCGTGTTAGAGCCCTCGTCGCAGATTGTCTCTGGGTCTTCTTTGCCATTGCTCGCAAGTAACGAAGGCAAGGCATCGCTATCACACTTAGCATTTCACGACACACAGAGTTTGTGGACCCATGACCAACCGTCCAACAACGCGTTTGTCATACAAGGATGCTTCAGTGCACTGAGTGCGGTGAAGGTTGCTCGAATGCCTATGTAGCCGATTAACGTCGGGTGTGCAATAGGGTGGTCGATTTCTATGATTGTTCGACCTCGTGCATGCCTACAGGATGCTGAACGATCTTTGCAGGCCGGGCCTCGTCACGGGACATCCAGGTGACTAGTACTATCCATGCCGTTGCCCAATACTCGACTGATGATTTTGCGAGTAGCAGTCCGATCGGCTCGACGGCACAGCGACGGGTCGTCCCAAGCCGCCCGGCAGCCTCTACACCGCACGTCCCATCTCCCACGCGCATCGCGCACACATGCTCTCGCGGCTTCTTGTGGCAAGTCTGTTTCTATTCTTGGAGGATAAGTGGCAAGTCTGTTTCTATTCTTGGAGGATAAGTGGCAAGTCTGTTTCTACTCTTGGAAGATAAGTAATACCCTTCTTCGGACGCAGTGCCATAGCTCTCAGGCTTGTCTCAGACCTATCCATATGACGCATTCACGCAGCCGAAAGTACGCTACCGGCGGCCTCGGCACGCTAGGGCCTCTCCGATGACTCCTTTTACTGATGATCTCTGACCTATCTCATATTTTCTCATCCTGATCCTGGTGTACAGTAGGCTTTGAAGCTGCAGATAAGGGCACATATAAGTCCCACTCTTTCTTCTCTCGAGGAATTCAACTTCCCCAGTGTTGACCCCGAACGGTACGGAGTTCCAACAACATCGCTGCGATCTGTTCTTTGAAGGAATCGGCTATGTCGGATCGCAAGCTTCGAATCGCAATTGTTGGTGGAGGTGTATGCGGGCTGACGTGTGCGGTCGCGTTGTTGCGAGAAGGTGTAGATGTGCATGTTTACGAAGCGGCTGTGCGTATTTTCCACTCCGAATACTCGTAAATACTGAAAGGAATGCGCAGTCTAAGTTTGGCGAGATTGGAGCTGGGATAGGTCTTGGTACGACGTTTCCTTACTTCCTTCGCCCATAACTGAACGAGGGGCACAGGCCGCAATGCAATGGAGGTGCTCACCGCCCTTGGAGTCTACGACGATATTCTCGCACGCGTACGACAGGCGAATGCCATCATGCCTAGTGGCACATCAGAAGAGAACCCCAACGGCGGGGACGGAAACGACATGCGCGGCTGGTTCAAGTATGTGTCGGGCATGCCGGGGCACAAAATGGTCTACGACGTGCGTCGCGTATTCATTGTAATTTCACCATTCAGAACTAATCCTTCAAGCGACGATGCACAGTACGAGTTAGAGGGAAACAACGCCATGGGCGTGCACCGCGCGACGTTCCTCGACGCACTCGTGCATCACGTCGACCCTGCGCGAGCTCACTTCCACAAGCGCTGTACGCACATCACACACAGCGCCGACGGCGACACGACAATACACTTTCAGGACGGCACCACCGCAACAGCGGACGTCGTACTTGGTGCAGACGGGATAAAGAGTGCGGTGCGCCGCTTCGTCGCAGGCACGAGCGGCCAGGACGTGGACCCGAATATCAAGTTCAGCCGGACGAGGTGCTACCGTGCGCTGATACCTGCGGAAAAGGCAGCTGCGGCGGGCGTGAAGACGGATTTTCGTGCGCGACCGACTTGCTTCGTCGGTGAGAATAAACACCTGATCATCTTTACTATCCGAGGTGGGACTGTGGTACGCATCGCGCGTCTAGCTTTTAGAGAGACACCCTGAGCCTTGAGATGGTCTCTAGATCAATGTTGTCGCCTTTAGCGCCGACAGCGATTCCGACCCGGAGCACTACCCATCGCCATCCACGGAAGCAGTGCAGCAGGTGTCGGTCGAAGAAGTCCTTGCAGCATACGACGGCTGGGGCCCTGAGGTGCGCAACTTACTGAGCTGCGCAGTAAACCCGACGAAGTGGTCGATCAACGTCGTCTATCCACCAATTCCGCCCGAACGATGGGCGAGGGGGCCAGTGGCAATTCTCGGTGACGCCGCGCACGGAATGTTGCCGCACCTCGGGTCGGGGGCCGGCCAGGGAATCGAGGACGCATACGTGCTTGGAAAGTTGCTCAGCCATCCGCAAACGACACCCGGGAATGTCGAGGTGCGCATACACGCATACGCTATGACGGGAACCACTAACAATCTTTGTAGGAAGTTCTAAAGGCGTATGCCACTATTCGCCAACCCCGAGCTCAGAGGGTCTGGGAAGGGAGCAGGCGAGCAGGTGATATATATGACCTGCGCGCGAGCGGAGAAGGCATGCTGTTCGAAGAGCTGCTGCCTATGATGACGTACGTCTGGAGCTATCCGTTGAACGAGGCTTTTGAAGAGGCGGCGGCATCCCTAACGTCGAAGGGAACCTTCAAGGTTTCGAGCTGAGATGTACACTTCTGTTGAATAGGTTATTGAACGTGAGATTTATTGTGTCCATGCAAAGCTGTTGTCCTAGTTAATAGCGTTGGCCACCCGTCACTGGTCAGACACTCACCTTACTACTTTGTCCCGGCACTTCCAATCCCCATTTCTACTACATACTTCTCCCTTCCTAGCCGCCTCATCTCCTCAACAACCTCTCCGACCTTTTCAAACTCGATCCACCGCCGTTTCCCTCTGTCTTCCGTAATAGGTACCGCCTCCTTCGGGAACGGCTCAACAAAGCGGACTCGCAATGCGAGCCACTGCATCGCTTTGATGTTCGCGATAAATTGCTCAATTTGGTCCTGAGAGCCTTCGCAGTAGATTACGCTCGGATAGCCAACCTTGGCGAAGCCACTGACGTGCAGCTGGGCGGACCACTGTTGCATGTTCCGACGCTTCGTGGGCGAGATGAGGTGATGGGATGTTAGCAGGGCATGGTAGCGATCTCCTGTATCAGGTACCGGTATTGATCGAGTTTGCGGCTCCTCCAGCTCTGCTTGAGCTGCAAGTGTCACTTCTTCGTGCAGAAAAGGCAACAGGTGACTGGATATTAGCTCGTACAGTAGGTATCTAGAACAGCGTTCGGTACTCGAATCAACTGAAAGAGCAATGAACGTACTCACTGTCTCTGACTTCGGTAAGCAGGTCCCTCACGATCGCTTGCCACCTCTCGTGCTCGCTTCTGGAGATCTCGTTGCCTCTAACAAGCACCTTTGGCAAAATCAAACCATCCTCAGAGGGATAGTTCTGCGGCAGCTCAACGTCAAACGATATTTTTGCGCCGTCCACGAGTAGTTCGAAACGGGCAGACTCCAAGTGTTCAATAGAGACAAGTTCTGGCGTGTCCGAGTACACTCTGAGCAGGTCCTCCCATGGCGAACCAGACACAAATTGTAAGTTTTCGCCAGGCATAAGCGAGCACGTTATCAAGTTCAGCTCCTCGAGCTGCCGTTGGAGAGTTAAGTCGGAAAGATTGAACATGATAGCCGTAGAGGAAACAAGGGTAAGAGAATGAGAAACAGTATTTACGGCGTCATTGGTCCTTATTGATCCGGAGAGCGGGCCGTGATCCACCACCCCGTCGGCCGCCGACTCCGACGCTTCGTTATTGAACACTTCCACCATGACCGTACCTGCTACGAGGAAACTTCTCTGAATGAGAATACGGCAGGGCGACGGATACTTGACCTTTTGGCGAATATTCTCACGCTGCATCGTATAGTGAGGTTTGGCTACGACGGTGGGTAGCGAATTCCAGTTGGACTCGGGGCATACGGCTCATACTACTACGACAGTTCGCAGATCACATGTACATAGCCCTTGTTGCAGAAGAATACCAATGTAATGACCACGCTCTCGTCATGCTACCTGGTCGTGCCTTGATATCCGATCTTCCTGGGTCATCCCCGAAGCTCACGCGGTCCTTAGCGGTCCTGAAGAGAAAGACTCAAGGTCACCTGGTATGGTTGACACCATATCCGACCATTCGTATATATACTGGCTGTCCTGGCGACATCGACCTCTGTGGTTTGTTGAAGCCATGGTACCAAAACGTCTCTTCGTCACAGCTGCTCTTGTAGCACCGAGCAGTGCTTGGACGGTCTTTACCGTACCGCACACCTCCGGACGAGATGACACGCCTGGAGTGATGCAGGCACTATCCGTCGGTAATGTTACAAGCAATGCTACGATCTTATTTGAGAAGGGCACTACCTACAATATTTTCACACCCATCAGCTTCCCAATCATGCATAACGTGGAAGTCGCTATCGAAGGAAACTTGACGTACCCGACTGATATTCCGACGATACAAGGTTAGCCATCCGTAGGAATATTGTCCGACTGAGCTAATTGAATCTCTCTTCAGCCGAGGTCGCTTCTTCTGTATGATATGTCTTCCTCCGTCTGTCCTGGTGTTATTCTTACCGGGCCAAGTCCTACCCAGGAGCATGGTGAGCTTCATATGCGATGTATATGTACTTTCTTTCAGTCTCTGGACGCTCATACTAGGTTTGCTTTCTCGGGTGGCACAAATGTCACTTTACGGGGCACAACCGACCCTAACTGGGGATGGGTCGATGCTCACGGGCAAGCTGTCCGCCCTGTTTACGCTCATTCCCGCGGTGCAAGCTAATGAACTGTCTTTGCAGTGGTGGGACGCGAACCAACAGACCAATCGTCCTCATGGATTTGCCTTTAGCAAGGTTAGCGGTGGAGCTATTCGCGACATGAAGATATGGAAGGTACTGTCATTTGTCTCCTACTCCTCGTTCCGAGTCTTACTTTATGATCTCCCAGCCCATCGGCTGGAACTTTGCAACCAGCGGATCCTCAAACGTTCAGATCGTCAATAATCAGATTTTGGCTGCGTCTACCACCGGGGTCGGTCCTTCCCTGTCTCACTTGTATCCATGGCGGAACTCATCTTTGTGCAGTCCTTCCCATTCAATACGTAGGTCAATCATTGTATGGTGTGGACATCATTGACCATACGCCGCCTTTCAAATAGCGACGGCAAGTCTACACGGCGTCTCAATGCTACTCGCGCTCACTGCTCTGCCCAGGCTTCTCCGCTGGCGGAACTAACTTGTCATTTTCCAGCAACTACGTGGTTAATGGTGACGACTGCCTGACTGTCGGAAACGGTGCGAAGAATATCCACTGGATGTACGTTCCTCCGTGCTACGGATGAAGATAGGCTAAATTCAGATTTCTAACCAGTGATTCGTACTGCGAAGGCGGGCACGGACTCTCAATTGGCTCCCTAGGAGAAGACGGACAAGTCGCAGACGTGGAGAACGTCTTGTGAGCTGCTTTCTGGCTGTGATTATTTTCTTTTGAATTCACGTCGCACAGGATTGAGAATACCGTGATGGTTGGCTATCCCACACCGGCTCTCTTAAAGCATAAGCGTGACTGACTTACTTTGGAACAGAATAACACTCTTTATGCGGCCCGCTTCAAGAGTTGGACGGGCGGTAACGGCGCAGCTCGCAAGTGCGCTGGGATTCAGCTTGGCATAAATTTTGAGGCTTGACTCATCACTTCTGTAGCATAACCTGGCGCAACATCGCCTTCAATAACGTTCCTTTCCCGGTAAATCTCCCTACCAATTACTTCTAAGGATGGAAATTGGTGGCATCTATTATTATCATTATTCATCTTATATTTATTTGACAGATTTACATTACTCAGAAGTGAGTGTGCTAGTTGAAGATACTTCTCCGTCTATAACATCTGATAACGTCCTTCGCGCTCAGCTATTGGGATCAAGAGGTATTCAGCCTCGCCCGACATAACACCTATGTTGATACCAATTGGTGACTGCTTGGTTCCCTAGGACGGTCCTCCTCCACCATCAAACACAGCTAACAACACCCGCGTTGAAGATTTCCTGTTCCAAAATTTTGCGGGGACGATCGAAGAGTCCGTCTCAGATCCTATCCCTTCACCTATCATTTTCTCACCTTTCATTCTAGCCACTCGTTCAAGGAAGGTTCGTGCGTAACTGACCCATGTTGGTACGCGGTACCTGGCGCGACGGGCAAGGAGGTCGCGATTTTCGACTTGTATCCCAATACCGGTGAGGATCATGAAGCTCGGAGGATGTCAGAGACTGATTAGTCGCACAAGCGGTGAACATTGTGGCGAAGGATATCTTTTCGGTAACGGAGACTGGGGCACCTGTCAGGGTCATGTGCAATGCATCGACAGCAAGTGCGACAGGTGATGATTTAGTGGTGAGCGCTAACCCTGGGAGTTTCGGCAGATCTCGACGGACGTTGGCTTCAAGTGCTGGGACGGTCTTTTCATTCGTACAAGGGCCGGTCTGTAAGGCTAACTGGAGATTTAAAATATGCATCGCAATCTGCCCCAATGTGTGGGAACGTCGTTGGTATTCAGCGCGGAGCCGTAGATCCAGAGGACCTGACGATAAAGAAAGCAGTGCGATATTGGTATAACATGGTCTAGATTCCCCTCCCCAAAGAATGTATGTATACCCATCTCAGGCTGCCTGTGAGTCCCGCCCTGAAAGCAACCTGGTACCTCGTTCTAATGCCGGGCTGTGTCAATCCTAGGCGTGCGCGGTCCGTGCTCAGGTGGTGTGGCGCCTGTCAATGTGCAGGACATGCCGCATCTCGCTATCTCGCGCTGTCTCGAATGCTCACGCGGCGTATGGTATCTGAGAAGGTTCAATGGGCCGTTTTTGCGATGTATGTGACATTTGGCCTGCTTCAGGGATCGGCAGGTGATCGGAGTCTGTATCCAATCCCCCTCGACCACCCAGCCAAGGCGGGCCACCGCATATAAGACGGTCGCTGTGGCCATGGCTATCCATCAAAATCACAATGCCCAGCAAATTACGCGTCGCCGTTGTTGGAGGAGGAGTGTGTGGAATGACCTGCTCCGTTGCTCTCCTGAAAGAAGGTGTTGACACGCATGTGTATGAGGCGGGTGTGAGTAGACAGCAACTGATCTTGACAAGTCAGACATGTCTGAATTCCAGATAGGCCAGGCTCGGAGAAGTCGAAGCGGGTATACCTGTCGGTGAGCCACACTATCTGAGTTTATCGACTATGGTTAACAATTGACCTTTCTTTGTTCATGATGTTTTGCACACTAGGCTCAAATACAGTACGCATTCTCAAGGCAATCGGGATATGGAACGATATCGTCTCCCGGAACAGGCAGCCTTCCATCGTCCGTGCGCACCCAGCAGCGAATCCCGCAGCGCAGGTTGAAGCTAAGGTATCGCACGATGGGCAGCAGCGCCGGTACTTCCAATTTGTGTCCGGTATGGCTGGGCATGAAGTTCTCTGCGATGTACGTGCTTCCGGCGCAACGCGTTGGTGGTTTTAAATTGACGCCTTTTTGCAGCAGGATCCCGGAGAGCCAGTGGCTAAAGGCATAAATCGTAGCGTTTTCCTAAATGCACTGGCACACCACGTCGACCCGAAACGCGTTCACCTGCGCAAGCAGTGCACCAGAATCACAGCAGCTGCTCATGGAGCTATTTTGCATTTTCAGGATGGAACTACTACAACTGCTGATATCGTACTTGGAGCAGACGGAATACGGAGTTTAGTTCGCCGTTACGTCACGGACTCATTAGACGCAAACATCGATCCGCACCTTAAGCTCAGCAGGACAGTCTGCTACAGGGCTTTAATCCCAGTATCGAAAGCTTTCGCCTCCGGTACTACTATGGATTTCACCAAGCAGCCGGTCTGCTTCGTCGGCGAGAACAAGCACATAACCGCGTACAATGTCAAAGCCGGTACCTTGGTAAGTCTCAAGCTGTCATGAAATCGCTCTGTTATTGAGATAGGCTCCGTAGGTCAACGTAGCTGCGTTCGCTTCAGACCCCAACTCCGCTGCTGATAACTGCCCACCTTCGAATCATGACGCGGTACAAGAAGTCTCGACCAGTGATGTTCTTGAAGTGTTTCGAAGCTGGGGGCCCGAGGTCGTAAACCTACTGTCGTGCGCGGAGAGGTTCGTGAAGTGGAACAACGATGTCGTTTACCCTCCGATCGATCCTAGGAAATGGGTGAAGGGTCGGGTCGCGATTCTCGGTGATGCTGTGCGTATCTTTTCTCGTCGTATAGTTACATGAAGTTGACTGAGCGTAGGCCCATGGGATGCTTGCACACGATGGTGCAGGTGCAGGTCAAGGAATTGAAGATGCATATCTTCTTGCGAAGCTCCTAGGTCATCCGCAAGCGACCCATAATGCAGCTGACGTAAGCCTTTAGTTTCTTTCATTGTCGTCTCAAATGAATCTCATTGTCGCCTATACTACAGGCAATCCTCCGAACATATGCTGTTGTCCGCCAGCCTCGAGCTCAGGACGTTTGGGAAGGTAGCAGATGCACCGGAGATATCCTCGAGAGCCGCACCGAAGGCTTTGAAGTGGAGAGGCTTTACGAGATCTGGCATTACGTTTGGGACCGACCGACAAACGCAGATTTTGAGGAGGCTAATCGAATCCTGGTGGGGAAAAATGTATTTGTCAAGGCCGCCCTATGACGGCGATCTGTGTCTTGTCGCTATGAGTTCTATGGCTACCTGCGTAATCTGACACTGGTCAGCCCGCTTCAAGGAACACAGCTGATGATTAAGTTTGCATTCCTCAGGGCGCCACTGATATGCTCGCCGGGATGGTGCTGTGATACAGGGGTCATGCGCCCGACTAACCGGGTGCCGTTCCATCTGCTCGCTGTGACATTGACCGCAGCCGGGCCATTGTAGACGCCCACCCGGCCCCCAGCCCACCCGAAAATGACATGCTCATCTCCTCTCTAGCAGGTATGCAAACGTTTTATGTTTGACGTCCCATTCGCCTCAGGTACCGGGGGGACGGCTTATAACAAGCGAGCTCTACTTGACATCAACTGTGCGATTTCCCCAGAGAGCATACTCAGGGCAAGGATGACCGACAAGACGTTCCAGGTGGCCATCGTAGGAGGTGGCGTCTGTGGCATAGCCTGTGCTATCGCCTTGCTCAAGGAAGGAGTCGATGTACACGTCTATGAAGCCGCGGTACGTACTACTAGCTTTTCAGGGGCCGCGTAGCTCACTCGACGAACAGTCGGAATTTAAGGAGATTGGGGCGGGTCTCGGTATCAGTCAGTAACAAGTCGCTTTCACTTCTTTTCAGACACTCTGAAGCCTTACAACTCTTTCAACGCAGGCCCGAATGCGAAGCGTATCTTCAAGGCTATGGGTGTATGGGACGATCTCATTACTCGTATTGTTCCGGGCCAAACGACGAAACAGCATGCTCCTGCCCAAGCTCACGTTGATGTAGTGCAACGAAAGAACACATGGTTTCAGTTTGTCTCCGGTATGCCGGGCCATAAAGTTCTTGCCGACGTGCGTCAGTCTTTTCATCTACAGCAGGACGTACACTTAGTCCTGTTGCCAGTGGGATTCCATAGAGCATGAACGCGTGTCCTATGGCATACATCGAGGCATATTCCTCGATGCTCTGGTGCACTACGTCGACCCCGAGCGTCTGCACCTGCACAAGCGTTGCACGCGCATCACCACTACTGGAAAGGGTGTCACTATACATTTCCAGGACGCGACAACTGCTTCTGCAGATGTTATTCTTGGTGCAGATGGAATACGAAGTGCAGTTCGGCGCTACGTTACAGACACCTACGACGTCGCGGATGATCCGTACCTCAAGTTTAGCAGGGTCATTTGTTACCGAGCACTGATACCCACCAAATCGGCTACTGCCAAAGGGGTCACCATGGACTTCAGTAAACGGCCTATCTGCTTCGTGGGCGAGGACAGACATATGATCGTGTATGCCATCCAAGGTGGCGCCATGGTAAGCTCAAGCCTTAACTCCTCTCACGACACCCTTACGATAGCCATGACAGATAAACGTGGCGGCATTCGTTTCAGATCCGGATTCTGCGGCCGATCACTACCCACCCGCTTCCCATTCTAAAGTACAAACAGTGGCCACCAGCGAAGTTCTGGGGGCCTATCATGGCTGGGGTCCTGAGATCACGAATCTCCTTTCCTGCGCCGAGAGGCTTGGGAAGTGGGAGGTCAACGTCGTTTGTCCGGCAATTGCACCTGAGAAGTGGACGAAAGGCCAAGTGACGATTCTTGGTGACGCGGTAAGTCTGGCCAATACATTCCAAACACAGTATATTAAAACCCGAACAGGTTCACGGGATGCTCCCGCATCTCGGTGCGGGCGCTGGGCAGGGGATCGAGGATGCTTACCTACTTGCCAAGCTCCTCGGTCATCCGCAGACAACGCTGGAGAATGTCACGGTACGCTGCCTAAACGCGGATATATGACTTCGACAGTCTAATCTGCAATCTCCGTAGGAGGTGCTCCGCGTTTACGCTGCCGTCCGACAACCTCGCACCCAGAAGATCTGGGAGGGGAGCCGCCGTGCGGGGGACATGCTTGACGGTCGGACTCATGAGATCCACATCGACGAGCTTCGAGACATGTGGGACTATGCGTGGAACCAGCCACTGGACCTCGATATCGATACGGCTACGCGCATGCTGCAGGAGAACGGTGCTTACGTGAAGTCTGCTCTGTAAGGCTCAAGTTCAAGAACCCTAGCCTTCTAGACGGACGCCCTCCTTCTTGAATTTGACATTGTAATTGATTACATTAGCCTCACTGCGTCGTTTATACTATGGGTCATTCTTCAGACATCAACCTCGTATTCGGAACGTGTGGGAAGGCAGCAGGTCGCGTACAAAAAATGACCATAGGGGCTTGACTGAAGGGTTTCGAGCGGATGGGCTCAAGGTGCGCGCGCGAGACCCGACAACGCATCTGTGGCCGACGAATGCAGACTTCGAGGAGGCTGTTAGTTGAATCTTGGTGGAGGAGGTCGTTCTGTGACGACCCTGTGGAGATAACCTGCGCCTCGCTGCTGTTAGTTCGGCTGCGTTCTTGCTACTTCCCTAACTTGCCATATTCCGCAGCCAAGCAGTGTCATCGATACATCGGGTCGCTTCTGCTGTTTTGACGAAGATCAAGCCATGCGTCATAGGCTCGCGTCTACTATCTGCTGAAGACGACACAGTGCAGTCATGAGCTCTCTCAGGCATGACATTCACATCGATGAGTTGCGAGATATGTGGAGTTATGTCTGGGATCAGCCGCGAAACTTCGAGCTCAGCAGAGCTTTGAGCATATTAATATGCGAAAGAAGGGTATCTTCGTGAAAGATAGTACAGCCTCCCTGGGGGGACAGTCCAGGCTCTAGTTGATGGGAGAACAGTGAATTACGTCTCGCGCAGGCCAAAATAGTGACGCTGGAACATGATCTCAATCTCCATGAATGCTATTCTCTGAGGCTCAAGCTCCTTGTCCGTCGAAAGACTACTCCGAGTCGTAGGATAATATATTCTTTACCCGAGAACACATGATATCTCAGATGCGATGCTCTGCTGTGCTTTGAAACCCTTCAGTCCGTGGGTCAGGGAAGCCACTTCTTGTCCTAAACCAAGGAGGATTTCCTCCTCCTGAAGAGGACCTTAGCATCGGGGTCCGGCTGGATGCTCAACCCGGTGTAAACATTTTCCGGACGGACGCCCTCCTTTTCGAATTTGACATCGTAGTTGACGATGACATGCGCCATCATCGCCTTCAGCTCATTTGCCGCAAAGAAGCGACCAGGGCTAAGATAGACGAATGTCATGAGTTTGACAAACGGTGATATGGATGCTGGAAATACATGCCAGGCGTGCCTGCCGTGACCGAACGGCACATAATCCGCGGATGTCGTGACGTACTGGTGCTTGGATGCAGACAAGTCTTGCTCCTTCTCGCGGACGTAGCGGAATGGATCGAAGATGGTCGAGTCCTTGTAGTACTCGTTATCAAAGTGCGTTGCGATTGAAGGTGCGACGAGAATGGTGTCTTTGGGGATAAACGTGCCGTCGGAGAGCGTTAAAGATTTGACAGCCTTGCGCATGACAGAGACTGTGGTGCAGAGCGATCGGCTCCAGGGTTACGAGAAGACAAAAAGAGGGGACACACTTGGATTTATGCCGTTGTACCGCTGGTTCTCACGCATAAAACTGTCCAGTCTCCACATCTTACCCATTGCGGCCTTCGTCCAACCCTCTTCCGCGATAACAGCCTCGATCTCTTCCCTTAGGGAATCGATAAACTCGGGGCTGGCAGCCAGATGGTAAAGCGCATGAGTGAAGCTCTGCAAAGGGTTTTCAGCACAACCGAGAGGGTGTATGAGAGATAGATTTGGTTCACAGTAGAAGAGGTGTGAATAGCTGCGAAGTTGACGAGGAGGATGATACGGACGACTTCCTCCACAGGGTCGTTTCGTGTCGCAACTTCTTCTATGACCCACTGGAGCAAATCATTCTAAAAGTGGGGAACGGTTCAAGCTAGAGCTCAATAAAATGAAATTCAAAGGTTGCCGCGTACCGGCTTATCCGACCAGTTTTCTCCGAAATTCTTCATGAGCTTCATGCGGTCTTCAATGAGGGGCCCCAGGTACTGTGTGCCTTCCTCGATCCGCCGATCAATATTGGTAGTCATCTTGGCCACCGTTCTCGCTGCGATGGGCTTCGCTACCGAAGGTAACAATGCAATATATTTCCTGGCCTTTGCTATGTCGAGGGTAAAGTTGACAAGCAGGCCGAGATAGTCGGGGTCGCGGCCTGTAATGTTCTGAATCAGCGACACGATCCTGTGCCTACGACCTACTAGGATATGCCGTTAACACTCACAGATGGGTAGTCCAACGAATACACGGTTACTTGTACGAGCGACGACGTTTCTGGCAACTTTAATGGCGTGCACAGGGACCCACTCTGCACATTACCGTCACATGCTAGCAGCACATTCACGACGAAAAAAAAAGCCAGGGAACCAACCTTCGTCATGCCCGGATATAAACTCCGCGAAGGCTGTGGCTATTTCATCGTACATGTCGCCAAAGACGGGGGAAAGATGCTTTGTCAGCTGGGCCAAGATGATGTTGACCTGACCCGGGTTCTCGTGGAGCTGATGGCCAAAAATATACGGGATTCCTGTGAGCTATAGCGACATCAGCACTTTAGAGAACGTCGAGAGCATAGCAGAAACACGCCTCCCCAGCTGCATCACTGAAGGACACCACGTCGTCAGGCAGCCTCTGTAATTCATCGACAAGCTTCTTCCCTGTTACCACGACGAGCCAGCGGTCCGTGAAGGCAACCTTGAATGCCTTGCCCTTGTGCTAGAGACACAATACTGATAAGCTCATCGCCTTAGTCCAACTCGAAATAATGAGCCCATACCTTGTCGTAGCCACGTTGCAGGATATCAGTAGCATTGAGCACAAAATTGTATGTCCCCTTGTAGGAAAGTAGCGGAAGGGAAGGGCCACCCTCAGTGGGTACGTGGCGAAGCTGCGGATTAGTTAAGGCACATCATGATCAACCTTATTAGTCGCAATCCAGCGGACTCACACTGGTGGGACTAAACAGGCTGTAGAGTAGAAGGGCAAGAGGCACGCCGTATGCCAAGTATGCGATCAACGTGGAGGTGTCTTTTGGAAGAAAGCTATCTGAGACGTGTCCAAACGGCATCTTGTCCGATCTGCAGAGGTTCTTGCGCAAAAATTAGTCGATAGCAGCAGATATCGATACATAGCCTCGATTAGAGGTTCCGCTGACACCCACCAGCTTGTCACCCACCGAGAGAAGTGCTATCACGAGGCTCCACCTCTCAGCAATTTACACGTCAGAACAAGTAGAGAGGCAGCGCTAGATGGCACGGAGGTAGGATCAAGTGATGTCCATTGAATCAAGAGCTGGTAACTGCCGCTGATGCCGGCACCTTCAAAAAGCACAAATACGGAATCATACGAGAGAGCGCCATAACTGAATAGCTGGGTAAAGCACGTGGATGATAGGTGTGAGAGTCGCTAATCGACGTCGCGGAGGCGTTTCAAGCTCATACCTTGGGGGGGGNNGGGGGGGGGAGGACCAGGTTGCCCGCGAAGCATGACGAGTCAGAGCTATCATTGCCGTTTGCCAACCAACTGCGCAGCGGGCTATATCATTTATTTGAGAATATATCATATACTACGCGTGATGGTCAGCTGTGCTTTGAAATCTTTTGGTTTACGGTCCTGGAAAGCCACCCCGTCTTAATTCAAGGAGGACTCTCTCTTCCTGAAGAGGATCTTAGCGTCGGGGTCCGGCTGGATGGTTAACCCGGTGTAAACATTTTCCGGACGGATGCCCTCCTTTTCGAACTTGACATCGTAGTTGACGATGACATGCGCCATCATCGCCTTCAGCTCATTGGCCGCAAAGAAGCGACCAGGGCTAAGATAGACGAATGTCATAAGTTTGACAAATTATGTTACGAATATCGGAAGTACGTGCCAGGCGTGCTTGCCGTGACCGAACGGTACGTAATCCGCGGATGTTGTGACAAACTGGTGTTTGGAAGCAGAGAGGTCCTGTTCCTTCTCGCGGACGTGGCGGAAAGGATCGAAAACAGTCGGGTCCATATAATTCTCGTTATCGAAGTGTGTGGCGAGCGCAGGCGTGACGAGGATAGTGTTCTTGGGAATGTACGTGCCGTCGGAGAGCGTAAAGGACTTGAGGGCCTTGCGCATGACAGAGACTGCCGTGCAGAGCGATCGGTCTCGATACGAGAAGGCGAATGTACTGGACTCACTTGAGTTGATGCCATTGTATCGCTGGCTCTCACGCATAAAACTATCAAGCTTCCACATCTTACCCATTGCGATCTTAGTCCAGCCGTCTACCATGACAATAGCCTCGATCTCCTCCCTGAGCGGAGTAATAAATTCGGGGTTGGCGGCTAGATGATAGAGCGCGTGGGTGAAACTCTGCAGTATGTCGCTTTTTCGTAAGACAGCGGGTGTGTTATGGACAGAATCAGCTTACGCTTGACGAGGTATGGATGGCTGCAAAGTTGATCAGGAGGACAACACGGACGACTTCCTCCATAGGCTCATTTCGTGCCGCAACTTCATCTATGATCCACTGGAGCATGTCATTCTGGACGCGTGGATTAGTTGCAGTTCAACAGAGCGAGAGATAGCGGTCGCGGCGCACCGGCTTGTCCGACCAATCATCTCCGAATTTCTTCATCAAATTCATGCGGTCTTCG